AAAGCACCCCTCATTGGGGACTGGTCCTGCTAAAATTCCTTCTCTTCTATTTCTACATCCTGTTGGGATTTGGGGCACACATGCACACATGCCCACTGTGGCTTTCTTTTTGCCTTTTAAAGAATTATTTTATTCTATTCATTATTATTTTTTAAATTTGAAGAGAGAGAACGTGAGAAAGCAAGCCACCAGGTCCAAGATTCAAACCGTGGTCGGCTATGTGGAGGTCCAGTGCCTTAACCACCATACCACATGCTGGTCTCCTGCAGTAGGTTTTTCAAGATGCTGCAGCAGGGATTTGAACTGTACAGTCAGCCATGTGGGATCTGGCTCCCTTAACCACTCCGTTATGGGGCCACCCCAATAAGTACTGTTTCACAGTGATAGGTGCTTATTATGGCTACACACATTAAACACCTTAAGGTTGTTCTCAAACTTAGAAAGTGCTAGAAAAGCAGAGGATAGATAGTTGGTGGAACTGGTGATTTCTTTGTTTTTTGTTTTGTTTTGTTTTGTTTTGTTTTAATTTGCCAGAGGGGAATATGTGCTCACTGGATAGAGATGGGGAGTGGAGGGAAGCACCCTCTATGGGAGGGTCATGCCTCAGTCCCCTCTCCTTCATGTCCCTCCTTTCAGGATTTTGGAGGCTTGCTCTCTCTCTCTCTGCCTCTAGCATGTTTCTTAAGACTTCAGGTCCCCATGGTCAGCCATGTAGGATCCAGCCACTTCACACATCAGGTCATGGGCTGACCCAGGTTCGATGGTTCTTCACACATTCCTCAAATACACAATTATTTTTCATTATTAGTTTTATTGTAGGGTGTGTGCACTTGCCAGATAGACTGAGGGCGAGGTGTGTGTGAGAAATCACCCTCCTGAGGGGTTGCCACACTGATGCAGTCCTTCCTCCTCCATTTTCTTCTTGGGATTCTGGGTACATACACACATGCACCTGGTGTGATTTTTAAGCTGCTAGGTCTGGAACTTGAACCATGCTGTCAGCCATGTGGGATCCAGCACCTTAACCTCCATCCCACTTGATGGGCCCTCAAATAAACAATTACATTGACCTTATTTAACTTTAAGGGGAGTGATACCTATAGTGGTCTTGAAAAAATAAGGTTATTTCAATTCCAATAAGTCTTAGTGACTTTTCATTTTTTTCTTTCTTTCCTTCCTTTTTTAAATTTGCCAGAGGGTGTATGTGCTCACTGGGAATAGAGAGAGATAGAGAGAAGAGAGAGAGAAAGCGAGAAAGCACCTCTCTCCACGGGGAATGGTCCTGCTGCAGTCCCCTTTCCTCCATCTCTCTCTCTCCCGCTGGGATTTTGTGCATGCTTGCACATGTTGCCGGCATGTTTTTATCATGCTGCCAAGTCCGAGACCCAGACCGCAGAGTTAGCCTTGTGGGATCCCGCTCACAGAACCACTAGGCAAGCCCAACCTTTTGTTCTTTTAATTAATACTGTGTACTAAAGAGGTTATTTTGTTCCTTTTTCCAAAAAGAAAAAAATTCAAGTTTTGGTATTTTTCCTAAAATAAAATCAATTTTGTCCTGAAATACAGTTTTAAAAATGGAAAATCTCTCTATTTCCTTTGATTGCCTCATAAATAACAGGAGTTTCATAGCAGCTCTCCTGTCTCTTCCTCCTCCACCCTTTCCCCCCTTTCCCATTGTGCCAATCACAGGTGGATGCTCAGTATCACGCCACAGCACAGGATAAATAAGCTTGGAAGGTTTCCTAGCAACATACTGTTCTGGGAACCCGCTCTGTTTCCCTGAACAAGATGAAGCCAAACATCCTAGCCTCTCAGCCAGATTGGAAAGCATTAGCTTTTTGAGGGTATTTAATGCAGTAAAAGAAAATTTCACTTTGAAATGAGCTTCTTAACATAAATAACAAAATTGACTTTTAAAAAGGACACTCTTTCACAAAAACCCCACTCAGTAATGTTTAAAATGTTAAAGTATGGTTTTAGAAGAATTCTCTAGGAATAAACTTGCAATATGCAATTCAGTTATTGGTGAATGCGTGCATTTTAGAACCATGGAGAAAATACTTCCACACAGGATGATACTCACTGCTACCCAGTGGTATGGAATTCCAGTTCAGAAAACACTGAACTACTTCCCACGGGGTAGGTGAATGGCTGCTGGGGTAGGTGCCCTTCTCACAGTACCTTTAGCTGCTCCCTTGACCCTGCTCCTGGGGATACATTTAAGACACTTTGTCACTGCTTCAAACACTGAGACTTCTTTCCTTTATTTCCTCAGCTCCACTGGCTATTTCAGTGCTAGTAATTGCCACTTCATCTTGAAAGTCTATTTTTGGTTCTCTGAGTATATATGATTAATGCATATAGAGAAAATAAAACTAAGGAAGCCGAGGCTGCTGTCAAATCAAGAGAAATGGTGCCTTGTTCTCTTCGGGAAAGATCAGGCGATCTTTCCCATGCTTATCTAATGATCCGTGAGGCCGCATGTTTGGCAGGTGGCACCTTCCTTTCTGCTGCGCTCCAGTTGGTCACAGTGTACGCTCCAGTTGGTCACAGTGTACGGCTGAAGGTCTCTGGAGGTGGAGTAATAAAGGATCCGTGTTTCTCATGACAGAATTCAGCTGTGCTTTTGCAATTCAGTTACACCCTGGGAAATGTCCTTACTTCTTGTTCAACTGGTGAGACAATCCCCCGTCAACCAGATGAACATTCTCATAATGCGGTAAACGAATGTCTTGCGTTGCCTGTCAGGTTTGCAGAGCTTGTGCAACTTCCCAGTATGGGCAGAAGCAGATCTTTTAAGTACTTCCCAGTGCCGCTGTTGGGAAAAGCAAAATAGTTAGAATAAGACAGGGAATGACACTGGGTGTCTTTATTTTTTATTTAACAAATTGCCCAGATTCCAGACAATTGAAATTGTCTTTTCCCCAGAAAACTGTAAGTTCATTTTACTTGAGCCCTTTCTGTTGTCTTCTCTCACGCATGTATGTAAAGTTTCTAAATACAGCATGTGTTGCTTAACACCAGGGATGCATTGTGAGAAATGCGTCATCAGGTGATTTTGTCATTGTGTGAATGTTGAGTGTATCTACACAAACCTAGATGGTATCACCCACTACACAGCCTCTATGGTGCAGCCTGTATGCTCCTCATGGAAACACAGTTGTATGAGGGGGGTCTATACAAAGTTCATTGAAAATGCATAGTATGAAAAAATTATGCATGGATTTCAAATATTTTTGCATGAAAATAAACTCATACTTTAGTTCCATTTTTTCATAAGTTTTTTTTGAAGTCCCCTTGTTGTATGAGGCCCCTTCAGTTGTTGACTGAAACCTCATCATAAGTCCCATGACCACCATATTTTGAATGCCACAAGAAACAATCTGTTAAAGACATAAATATGGGCTAAATAAACTTTTAAAAAAATCTTTTTCACTTTTCCCCTCCCTCTCACATTAGTTTTCTCATTAGAAAACAAAACAAAACAAAAAATTAAACTTTAGTTTGTCATATGCAACAGAGAAAGTTATAATGCATTAATTTTTTTTAAGGAGAGATTTTTGCTACAGGGTGTGTGCACCCACCAGAGAGACAGAGAGAAAGTGAGAAATCACCCCCCTAGAGGGGATGGTACTTCTGCTCTATTCTCTGGGGATTTGGGGCACTCACTCTGGCAAGCCCTGTGTGAGTATCAAGACACTGGGTCCAGGACTTGAACCAACCATGATCAGTCATCTGGGAGTCCAGTACCCCAATCACTACATCATCTGCTGACTCTTCATAATACATTAATTTTGATATAATAGTTTAAAGAACAATTTAGGGCCAATTTGTGGTGCGCTGGTTAAGGCAACTGGATCCCACATGACCAACTGCCGTGGCTTGGAAAAACACATTGGGTGCATGTGTGTGCATGCTCAAAATCCTGACAGGAGGGAAAGATGGAAGACAGGACATTGTGGCGTGACCATGCCCCATGAGGTGGGCTGCTTTCTTGCTCTTCCCCCATCTATTTCTCTGTGTCTTACAGGCAAGTGCATGTGCCCTCTGGAAAATATTTTTAATTTAAAAATTTCCATGAACCAGGCATTGTTTTAGAAACTTATCTATATTATATCATTTAGTTCTTGCAACAACCAATATGAGGTAGAAGTTCGTTTACCTGCCATTTTACAGATGAATAAACTGAGGCTAAGAGAAGTTAAATACCTGTTTTCTGAAGGATTACGTATCTAGAAAATGAGTAGTGGGAATTCAGAACCTGGTCTACCTTCTGTCAAATTCTATGACCTTTATATTTGTTTGTTTTTAGAATTCTAAGATCCTGTAAGATTCTAGTCTTTTTTTTTTCCAGAAAATAATTAGCTGTTGTTTTTTGAGAATGACATAATTTTACCATGATATAGATTATTTCTCTCAACGGTTTTCTGTTATCTCATACAGCACAATGGTCCTTTGTGTTTTTGAGTTTTCAGTGTTAAACTTTAAAATTATGTCTTTGTATAATATCACTATTTTTTAAAATAGGGCTCAATTTTTTATTTCTATAAAGTAATAATTTTTATTTTCAATATGATAGATGGCTATGAGTGAATTACACTCTAAAATAGTTCAAATGAATGGCACTATTAAATACATTAACAAGAAAAATTATGACAAAATAGAGTACTGTAAAACAGGTAGACAGTGTTTTTGTAAATAAAGTTTTATTGGAACATGGCTTGCTCATTTGTTTTATGTTACCTGTGACAACTTTTGTGCAATCATAACAGAGTTGAATGGTTGCAGCTTAGATTGTATAGCCAGCAAAACCTAAAATATGTGTCTGAACCTTTTTAGGAAAAGTTTGCCAATCCCTGTTCTAGAGTCTAGATTTGTCTCCTAACTTTGAGTTGGGCATGCACCTTTACAGTTCCAGAAAAGTAATTGGGAAGCACATCAGACCATTTTTGCCCTAACTGATGTTCTGATCTACCATGTTTTTTCTCTAATCCCTGCAGGTACCAACCAAGAAGCTGAAGAAATATGAGAAAGAATATCAGGCCATGCGGGAGAGCCAGCTGCAGCAGGAAGACCCAATGGACAGATACAAGGTATGGAAGACACTCTGTCAGGGCAAAGCACCTCCCCCCTAAAACAGCAGCTGTGCAAGTTCAATTCCCACCGTTCCTCCTTGATTGGGTTAGATGCTCTCTGGCCATCCTAATTATCCAGGTATGTTTTCATTTCAGGAGATTCCCAAATAGCCAACCATAATATTTCTTTTCTTTCAGTTTGTATATTTGTAGGTAACTCCAGCTGTTGCATTTATACTGGGAATCTTCATAAGAAGCTGAGAGAAAGAGAGGGAAAAAGAAAGTGTCTTTCTACTTTCAAAAATGAGGAAAATGGCAAAGTACTGTTTAGCTGTGCATGGTCACATCCACAAAGACTTGTAGAAGGTGACCTGTTCCAAGACTGACACAAGGATGTTTCCATCTTACCTCTGTCTGTAGCAAATGTTGAAAATACAAACTAACTCAGGAGGAAAAATAAAAAGCACAAAGGTGTATCCAGCATGTTAATGGTATTTGTTGCAACATTTATTTCCACACATGAATTTATGAATAATAATGACGTTTGACTACGTTATGCTGTTTTAGAATAAAAATGATGAGTTCATTATCAATTAATTTTGGAATTCTTTTTTAAATTGAGCCATTTACAAAGATAGGTCTTTTCAGTGATAATTAGTAAACTATTCCCAAGATATGATGTCAGGAAATATGACTTCTAATTTATCTTTCTCAGTTGAAATATTTGTTTCTCTTCAACATGTTTTAGTTCTTCATCCAGACACATGTAGTTGCCCACTCCACATCACTACACCGCGACGAAAGAATGTTTTGTTTTCAGCCCTGAGCACCAATGCCCAATCGTGCTGTCTGGATAAGTACTGAGGGGCATTATTAATGCAGCCCCCACCATGCGGTGGCTCACAGCTGTAACTAGGGTCACCTGTGTGTGGTCAGAAAGCTGGATGACGGCAGTACTGTCACATGGGACAGCATCTCTGTTGCTGAGTTGAAGAGCACAGGCGGTAACAGGAGAGCACAGTGGGAAGTGTGGATTTTGTAGCCAGACAGTCCTGATCTTAAATCTCAGCTCTATAAAAACAGAAGCACAGGATTTGGAGTCCAAGCTGGGGTTTTTAATCCCTGTGCCATGGTTCAGCATCTTGCACCAGTTAGTGCACCTCTTTCTTATCTGTAAAATACACAGTGCACACAGTCCCTCAAAGGTGGTTGTGAGCATGAAGGCCTTGTAGGTGAAACGCTCAGCACATAGTTGGTGTCCAGCAAAAGTTGCTATTAGTTTTCGAAGTTTTTAGTACCGTGAACTACTCAAGTATTGCTAAAATAATCTCTCTCCTTAAGTGAGTTTGTCCTTCACGGATCTTCCTCATATTTCTCCCAAACAGTGCTACTCAGTAGTTGACAACAGTATATTTCTCCCCTTGTTTATAGAACTGGCTCAAGAAGTGATCATAAAATGCCACATATTGCTATAGTAGCTGACCGTTCACAGATAAAGTGCTCATAGATAAGGTTTGAAGACCATCTCTATCACCACTCTCCCCTCAATTAAACCAGTTTTAACATGGGTTATATAGCATGCTGCTTTGAAGAGGCTTAAAAGTAATAATTATTAAATAATATTGAAGATCCAAAATGAAGCTCTCTGACTGCTTGTGTCATTCAAAGTTTTTTATTACTGCTGTCATGAATAAAATGTGTGAAGAGTGCTTAGAAATCTAAGAGAGGAGAAGCTAAAGACCAAATATGTACGTTTAAAATAAGGCTGGGACTAAATATATCATTGTGTCTTAACTCTTTTTTTTTTCTGTCAAAGCAGATGTGTATACATAAAGAGTAAAATGTGTATGTTTTAAAAAGTGTTTCTAACATGTAAGGTAATCAGTGTGTTTAGTTTTTATTGAGGGATCAAAGTAGAACTTTTTTGTTGTTTTGAAAATAGATTACTTTTGGGGCCAGCAGGTGGCAAGGTGGTTAAATGCAATGAACTCCCATGTGGCCGACTGTGGTTCAAGTTCCAGACCTGGTGGCTTGCTTTCTCATTTTCCCTCTCTCTCTGTCTCTGCTTCTCTCTGGTCAAATTAAAATAATAATAATGATAATGAATAAAATTAAGTAAAATAATTATTTATAAAAAAAGAAAACATTACATTTAAGTTCAAGTGTTGTAGCTTATTTGTATATATCACCCTCTATAGTTACTGGATTATCTAGAAAGTCATGATGCACTTTTGCATAGAAAAATACATCATTACTTTCCTGACAATCTAATATTTCTTTTAGATTATTGTAATAGTTTGTCAATATGTCACCTAATAAACTATATGTGTAGCAAAGTTATAGTCTTCAAATAATATTTTCAAGGTGGCAATTGACAGTAGTTTCCAATCATCAACAGATTTTGTCTTTCAGATGAATTATTTAATTAAAGTAGCAAAATGCCTTAGAAATACCTTTTAACATTTTATGAATTGAATCCTATCAAGAATAAGATCTTTTTTTGGGGGGAGGGATTTTTTTTGGATCAAAGTAGAACTTTTTTGTTGTTTTGAAAATAGATTACTTTTGGGGCCAGCAGGTGGCAAGGTGGTTAAATGCAATGAACTCCCATGTGGCCGACTGTGGTTCAAGTTCCAGACCTGGTGGCTTGCTTTCTCATTTTCCCTCTCTCTCTGTCTCTGCTTCTCTCTGGTCAAATTAAAATAATAATAATGATAATGAATAAAATTAAGTAAAATAATTATTTATAAAAAAAGAAAACATTACATTTAAGTTCAAGTGTTGTAGCTTATTTGTATATATCACCCTCTATAGTTACTGGATTATCTAGAAAGTCATGATGCACTTTTGCATAGAAAAATACATCATTACTTTCCTGACAATCTAATATTTCTTTTAGATTATTGTAATAGTTTGTCAATATGTCACCTAATAAACTATATGTGTAGCAAAGTTATAGTCTTCAAATAATATTTTCAAGGTGGCAATTGACAGTAGTTTCCAATCATCAACAGATTTTGTCTTTCAGATGAATTATTTAATTAAAGTAGCAAAATGCCTTAGAAATACCTTTTAACATTTTATGAATTGAATCCTATCAAGAATAAGATCTTTTTTTGGGGGGAGGGATTTTTTTTGGCTATAGGGCGCGTGTGCTCGCCAGAAAGGCAGAGAGAGACAGAAAGTGAGAAATCTCCCCCCAGGGGGGATGGCCACGCTGCAATCCCTTCTCCTCCATTCTCCTCTCAGGATCTTGGGCACACATGCACATGCACCCGGCGTGAGTTTACGCCGCCAACCGTGGTCGACTACATGGGAGTCCAGCGACATAGCCATTAACGCTAACTGCTGGTCCCAAGAATAAGATCTTGATCCTGGAAATGAACACTTTATAATTCATAGATCTTGGACGAGAAACCCAGTTCATAGAATTCTTAAGAATAACTAAGATATTTGAGGACTCTGAATGAAAACTTGCACCATTTTGGTGACAGCTTCTCTTCAAACATGAGAATCCTTAACTGCTTAAAATGTTATTTTGACCTCATAGCTTGCCATGTGGCAAGAGAGTTATGAAGGCTGTAGCGTTTAAAACAAACAAACAAAGCCCAGCAGTGTCATATAATAAGATATTCTAACAGAAGGTCCAGTCATCGTAGCATGTTCTAGTCATTGCTGACAACCAGGCTGAGGCTACATTGGAGGCCCAGGTGTGATTCTCGGCCTACCGGAAAAGCCAGACGTGTTGGCATGCACCTGTAGTCCCAGCTACTCAGCAGGCTGAGGCAGGAGGATCATGTCATATTGAGATCCTGTGTAGAAGAACCCAAACCAGAACAAAACAACATGCACACATACACACACGTGTGCTTGTGCACATATAGACATGGTCATCTAAGAGATATTTCAGTTAGATGCTTTTTCTCTTAGGCATGGCAGCATACATAAAAAGGCCTTTGCAGAGAAGTCACAGATTGCATCAAAGATCTAACAGTATAAACGTGGCTCTCAGAAGTCACATTTCTTGGGGCCAGCAGTTGGCTTAATGGCTAGGTCACTGGACTCCCATGCAGCCGACTACAGTTCGAGTCCCGGACCCACTGGCTTGAACTCATGCCCGGTGTATACGTGTGCATGCCCAAGATCTTGAGAGGAGAATGGAGAAGGGATTGTGGCATGGCCATCCCCCCTGGAGGGGGTGATTTCTCAATGTCTGTCTCTCTGTTTCTCTCTGTCTTTCTGGTGAGCACATGAGCCCTGTAGCAAAAACCTCTCAAAAGAAAAAAATGTACATTTCTTGCTTTATCTATCTAAACATTAGTTTTTTGTCTGTCTTTATGACATCTGTATTCTCAGGTTAGATCACACACTAACCTCCAGCATTTCAGTTTCAACCACAAAGAAAGAGATGAAATAGTGTTAGTATAAATTTAAATTTTAAAAACTTAAACATAACTAAAATGTTCCACAGATTGGTAGGGGTCATGGTTGCACAACCTTGTGAATATACCAAAGTTGTCGAATTACACCTTTTGAAACCGTAGACTTTATTGTATGTGTATCTCCAAAAAAAAACAAAAACCAAGCCCCCAAGCAAAATGTTCCAGGCAGCTTGGCACCTAGCCCATCATCATGAGCCCCACATCACGCAGAGGTACACATGGAGAAGCCATACTTGAGGGAGGGAGATCTTCCTATCAAAATTGGAGCTCAATAACTGTTGGTCCTAGGTGTACCCATGTTTACAGGGGAAAGGCCAACAGTAGTGGTGGTAGTGTGTTTGTTTTCAGTGATGTCCTTTAATTTCCAGATAAAATATATGTTGTACTTACATACATACTTATCACATACAGACACATATGTATTGGATCATCAAAAAAGTCATGATACATTTTTGCATAGAGAAACATAGAAAAATACATCATGGCTTTTTTGACAATCTAATACGTACACAGAAACTACACACATGCACACTCTGCTGTGCCACCTGGCCTTGGCCGGTGGTAACTGCTTACAGC